CTAAAGACTCGTCATGAAGACGATTCATTCCAACCACTATGAGTTTTTTTTTTTTTTTTTTAGATGAATCAATAGTTTTAAAAACTGTCCGCTTTCAGATTTAAGCCTTAAGCCTGATTTATACTTCTGCGTCAGGTGACCGGCGTAACCCACGGCGCATGCAACGCGTGTAGCTGTGCATTTATACTTCTGCGCGCTGTCTCTGTTGGTCTGCATTAACACTTCCGAAGCGCTAGTTGGCAGTGAGGTGTTAATGTTCCTCTGTGTCGAGTTTCTTCGGTGCTGTTTTGTTTTCCTGAACACTTCCGGGATGTACAAGTGGCTCAAACTCGCTCATTTTGAGGCAGGAACCGGCGGACGTGCAACAACTTTAACTATGAGGTAAACACAAAACAAAACTTTCCATCCGGAGCTCCTTCACGAGACTCCACACTTGTAAACAATCGCTCGCGCCATTCGCGCGGCTATCGGCCTCGCCCAGATTCGTCAGCGATACTAAACCGACCAATCAGAGCTTACGCTATGCGTCATTGCGACGTGTAGTTACATTATTTAAGAGGTGCACGTCAGTGACGGCGAAGGGCTATGCGTCAGCGCGGTAGCATACACCGGCGTTTGACGCAGAAGTATAAATCAGCCTTTAGCTGGATATTTCACTTCGCTTAGATCCGTGTTACACACTACATGGAAGCTCATTTTCGAAAACCCACAATAGGGGCTCTTTAAAAATAAAATATTATGTGTTCTCTGGGAGAGTGAACATGCATTATGATGCTATTATAGTGTGAATATTCTCTTAAAATGACAACAATATCGTTTACTGCAATAAGTTTTGGTTCTATATATCATTCATTCATTCATTTTCTACTGCTTATCCGCGGCCGAGTCATGGGGGCAGCAGTTTTAGGAGAGAACCCCAGACTTCCCTCTCCCCAGACACATTCTCCAGCTCGGGGGATCCCGAGGCGTTCCCAGGCCAGCCGAGAGACATAGTCCCTTCAGGGTGTTCTGGGTTTTCCCCAAGGCCTCCTCCGGTGGGACATGCCTCAAACACTTCTCTTGGTAGGTGTCCAGGAGGCATCTAAAACAGATGCCCGAGCCACCTCAGCTGACTTCTCTCGATGTGGAGGAGCAGTGGCTCTACTCCGGGTGTCAGAGCTCCTCACTCTATGTATAAGGGTGCGCCCTGCGAAGGAAAGTCATTTCGGTTGCTTGTATCCGAGATCTTGTCCTTTTGGTCATGACCCAAAGCTCATGGTCATAGGTGAGAGTAGGAATGTAGATTGACCGGTAAGAGCTTTCGGTTCAGCTCCTTCTTCACCACAATGGACCGGTACATCGACTGCATCACTGCTGCCACTGCACCAATCAACCTGTCAACCTCACGCTCCATCCTTCCCTCACTCGTGAACAAAACCCAGAGATACTTGAACTCCTCCACCTGGGGTAAGGACTTTCCTCCAACCTGGAGATGGCAAACCAACTTTTTCTGGTGGAGCAGTCCGACTTGGAGGTGCTGATTCTCTTCCCAGCAGTCCCACCAGTGCATGTTCGATGAAGCTAACAGAACAACATCGTCTGTGAATCACAGAGATGAAATCTTGCGGTCTCCGAACCGGACCCCCTCCAGCCCAATGCCGTGCTTTGAAATTCTGTCCAGAAAAATTATGAATTCGGTGACAAAGGGCAGCCCTGCCGAAGTCCAACATGCACTGGAAACAAGTCTGTATATCGTAATACAAAAAACAGCGCCATTGTGCCAAAACTATTTTTGAAATTATCCATATTAAAAGTTTTAAATAATATATATATATATATATATATATATATATATATATATATATATGTGTGTGTGTGTGTGTGTGTGTGTGTGTGTGTGTGTGTGTGTGTGTGTGTGTGTGTATGTGTGTGTATGTATGTGTATATATATATATATATATATATATATATATATATATATATATATATATTTGTTAAAAATGTTTATTTAGCATTTTATACGTGTATAATATTGTATTTTATTAAATTAAAAAAATCATTCCACCCAACACCCCCCACCCCCATTTTTCATACCATATACACGTTTTTATGTTTTTATGTATCATATTGATTCATCAGGCCTTTTGGTAACTTCTTAGCTCAAAACTATTTTAATTTTAGCTACAAACAAAGTTATAACATTTCAATTAAACAGAACATTTGTTTGTTTCTGTTTTTTTCTTTTTTACACTAAACATTTGACAGTCTTTTTTATTTAACTTTTAGTAGTTTCAGTCAATTGTTCTTGCAGAGACAGACCTTACACTTCTCACAGTATGCATGTGAGAAGTAATTGCAATCTTCTTTTGCCCTTTAGGACTCCCATGTCTATCATTTTGTTTTGACAAATGTAGTACAAAAAGTCCAAAAGCAAGGCTAGTCAAGGTGATATAATCATTTAGTGAGGGAAAATTAAATTGAGAAGAAATTTGGGGTGGTATGAGATTCATTTCTTTGCGACTTAACATGCTTAATGTAATTATACCTTTTACTTCATACTATTTCAGTTGTGTTCAGAACTGCGAAACTGTATTTTTTGAAGCATATTGATATCTTTTTGAAAAAATATCTTTAATTTATTGATGGAAATATTTTCCACATTTTATCACTTGCCTGTTATAAAATATAGTTGGATTGAAGGGGGGTGCGCAAAAGGTGAAGCCGCATACCCATCAGCAAATGTGCAGTTGCGCCCCTGACATGCATATCCGCTTGTTAAGTGTGACGTCACGCGGAGCGGATTCCGGGTCCAAGCGATCTATTCAACTGAATGGGGAGATTCATGAAATGGTAATTATAAACGTTTACAAAGTAATTTAATACTTTCGAAAGTCACGATCGCAGTATATATGTCCGTGACTAATATCTGATGGCCAGAAAGTGATTCATTGTTTTATAAATTGTTAAAATGTTGGTATTTGTTATGCAGCAAGCTCAGAGATTGTTGTGTACACTATGACTTTATGTAAAATTAACTTTAATGTTTGATATGAATAAAAAATGATCATAAACTAATGATTTCTTCACTCAAATGAGTGGCAGAACGGAAACAGTATTACATACGTCACAAACACGTCACCACTTAACAAGCGGATATGTGCTTATATCTGTTATTTCAGTCAATCACCAGAGCGTCAGATTACAGATAATTCAGAGCAATTAACAAAACTGAGTAAACTTTTCCTTTAATAATGAGTTTTTGCTTCATAGCTCGTTCACATGTTGATCTGGACTCATATCTGATGATGATGATGTCATGATGCCGCATAAACCGAGCAGCGTTTGCTCAGCAGACAGAGAACAGACTCGGAGATCATTAAACACATGAAAATTAATAATTCAGCACAGCGGAGACACACTGGGGAAATTCAGCCGGAGACAGACAGATGCTAGAAATTCAGCTTTGATGTCCAGAGCAAAACCTGTGACCTGAACACAGCAGCAGACCGAGAGGGCTTCCCTAATGTAAAGTTATGTGTTTGACCACATCGAAGTGTTGAGTGGGATCAAAATTGGTTGCCAAGTTGTTGAAGCTGTTGCTATGCAGTTGTAAGGGTATTCTAAGCATTTCATGCTGTTGCTACGGTGTTTGGGATGTTGGTATGCAGTTGCTAAGGTGTTCTAAATATTTGATGCAGCTGATAGGATGTTACGGGTGTTTAGTTTGTTGCTGTGCAGTTGCTATGGTTATCTAAATGTTTTATATTGTTGCTAGGATGTTCTAAATATTTAGGCTCCTACTGTGTAGTTGCTTAAGTGGCTTATTTTATGTTGCTATGCAGTTGTTAGGGTATTTTAAAGGTTTTGGCTGTTGCTATTCAGTTGCTAGGGTGATCTAAGTGGTTTAGACCATTGCTATTCAGTTGCTAGGGTGTTCTAAGTGGTTCAGGTTGTTGCTATGATGTTTCCAGGTTGTTCTGAGTGGGTAAGGCTGTTGCTTTGCAGTTGCCAATGTGTTCTGATTGTTTATACTGTTGTTATTCTGTTGCTAGGGTGTTCTGAGTGGTTTAGGCCATTGCTATGCAGTTGCTAGGGTGATTCGAGTATTTAGACCGTTGCTATGCAGTTGCTAGGGTGTACTGAGTAGTTTAGGCCATTGCTGCGCAGTTGCTAGGGTGATTTAATTGTTTAGACCATTGTTATTCAGTTGCTAGGGTGTTTTAAGTGGTGTAGGTCAGTGCCATGCAGTTGCTAGGGTGATTTGATTGCTTAAACTGTTGTTATTCAGTTGCTAGGATGTTCTGAGTGGTTTAGGCTGTTGCTATGCAGTTGTTAGGGTGATCTGAGTAGTTTAGACCACTGCTATGCAGTTGCTAGGGTGCTCTGATTGGTTTAGGTGGTTGCTATGATGTTACTAGGTTGTTCTTAGTAGGTTAGGCTGTTGCTACAGTATGCAATTGCTAGTGTGTCCTGATTGTTTAGACCAATGTTATTTTGTTGCTAGGGTGTTCTGAGTGGTTAGGCTGTTGCTATGCAGTTGCTAGGGTGTTCTGAGTGGTTGAGC